GCCTGCCTGATCTGTCCTATCTTCACCGCAATCAATGGCCCAGGCCCAACCGGCCTCGAGCCCGACACGCGCGCGCGTGCTCCCAACGACCACGTTGAGCGGTGAAGATAGGAGGCCAGATCTGGCGCAGATCGACGCAGACGACCCTCCTGTATGTGTGTGTTTCGACGCAGGTGATGTCTGTCTTTGATGCGCTTCACTCGCTGCACTGGGTGAGTCACTCGTTCGCCCCTCACCTTACGCCCAGTGCTATGCGTTGTTGTCCTGTTTCGTCACAGCTTTCTCCACGGCGTTTCTCTCTGCTATTGTACACTGGTACGCTCTACTACGCTCTCGCTGACATGCCTACGGTGTCTGTGTGTTCTTCTTCACAGGCCTCCGGAGGGAGTGTGACGATACCCGCGTCTGCATGCCCACTTCTTGCGCCGCCCGCCTGAGGGCCCTGTTCCAGGACGACCGGCTGGGTTGGTTCGTTTGTGTTGGCGCGTTCGCCCGCTTTGGGACGGATGAGGGGTGTGCCCTGCTCTTTGAAGTGCGGGAACCGGGAGGGCTTGCCTGGCAGCTGCAGGCGCAGCCCTTGCCCCGTGCGGTCGTTCTTCTGTTTGCGCACGAAGATGGTGACCTTGTCCTCGGTCGCCTCGACGTCTCCCACTCGCACTCACCCGCCCTTCGCACACCGAAGAACTGGAGGAGGGGGATGGCTGCATTGCGGACGTTGGCGTGCGTGGCGACGGTTGGTGTGGCGCGCCACCAATGCCATACCAGTGGTGGGAGATACGCGGCTGGCAGCGGGACTGTGGGGTCGTAGTCGTTCCAGCACATGTCGGCTTTGGGCCGTCAGGCCTCGCAGAAAAACGCTGCACTGGTCGCTCTGGAAGGGCGGCTTGGGGTAGCCCTTCATGGTGTGCCAGAGGCGAAGGGCTGCGCGGACTTTGGGCAGCTTGTATGCGTGGCCTGGCACCACTGTGGAGAGGGCATAAATGATCTTCTCGGGTGAGTCAAGTGGGAAGAGATTGAGGGCACTTGTTGAACACTTCCGCTGCAATTCGACCGTATTCTTTCACTGTAGAGTCCGCGAGACCGGTTTGGAAGCCCCTCCTGGCCACGAGGGTGACTTGCTCCCCGTCTGCGGGGTCGAATCCGAGGCTGCATGGGCATTGCAGGGCCGCTGCAAACGTATCGGGCGACCTGGCGGTGCCAACGTCAACGACTACATCGCCTGATCCGCGGCGGGCGACCTCGATGTATCGCCATTTCTGTCGATGTGTGTGTGTCCCTCTGCACATGTTACTCACTCAGGCGCACGATTTATTGGTCTCGCTTATAGATTTGGCTTGCTCATGCGATCGCCCTGGTCCCGCTCCTATGATTGTCCTCCCCATGCCCTTACTTACACACGTACGTTAAAGCACACGGGCCCTTACTTCCCTGTTCTGTTTCTGCTTTTTCTGCCTCCTGTCTGAAGGCGTCCATCACTCTCTTGCCCTCTTGCCACTCCTGCACCTTCTTCGTCACCACGCCCTCTTGGAGCAAGCACGCCGTGCTCAACGCTCGTGGTGGGACGACGCTGTGCTTTGTGTCTGTGTAGGACTGAGCTAAG